GATTGGATTTAGATGACGAAGCAGAATCTTCTGTCTTTCCACAGCTTTCTCCATCTTGCTCAATTCTCAAACACTAGCAACTAAAAACTTGTGTTGCAGCTGAAATCAAATGGCAGCTAAAAAACTTTGGTCTAATAAGCAAAGCAGCTTAAAGTTCTTCATGTTCCTCGTGGGTCGTGGGTGATTGTCGTCACTCTGGTATGATTGGTTAATTCGTTTGCCAACTCCTGTCTTTTTGTCGTTTGGTAAGCACAAGTTAACGGCGTTACGAATATAATCTTACGCCGTTAAGAGTCAGACCGGGAATCAGACGGCGGCCCAGCTACCGTATCAAAAATAAAACTGCATCCCGTTTAGAGTAGACAGAAGGCAACAACATCACGTTTTCACTGATGGAGAGAATGTTCAATTGAATTTTTGTTCGGTTTCGGTTTAGGCAACGAAACAAGCCACGTTGGAAAATAAAACTTCACGCCGTTTGCAGTAGACAGAAGGCAAATAGGACCGGACGCGGAGCGGATATCCGGAAATAATGCAGTATTTGTGATTCGATTTGATTTTCACGGATATCTAATTACGGATATCCGGATTTTTTCCGAATATTTGCGAATATTCGGATATTCGTTTTAAACAAAACATAATAATCAAAACATCATATTCTTTTATACAAAACAATATATTTTAATATTATATTTAAATTAACTAACGAATAAATATATAAAATTATTTAATTTTATTTGATATAAGTGTTAAAAAAAAGTGGAAGATTAAAATGGTAAAATATGAAACATATATTGTTTATTTAAGAAAAAGTTAATAAGTAAACTATATTTTCATTAAAAGGCTAGTATCTACCTATCTGTACTACAAATATTTTTGCCAAATGTATAAACTATACGTATATATTAGTTTTATACGGATCGGATCGGATATTCGGATTTTTGAAATTAGTATTTGTGATTTGCTTTACTTTAGACGGATACTAAAATATACTATTTTCTTTGCTTTGATTAATAACGGATATCCAAATTTTTCGGATCAAATATAAACGGATACCGGATCGGAACAAATCTAACGGATAATTTGCCCAGCCGTAGGTAACATATTATGTTTTAACTGATGGAGTATTTTCTTCCAAGGGTGTTCAACCTCGATTTCGGTTCCGTTTCGGGTCATTTCTAACTTTTTGGATTATATGTTATAGATAGTTTGGTAGGGTTTCTGTTTGTATTTTGGCATTAATATATGTATATATATATTTTTAAAAATTAGGTTTTAAATAACCCTTTTATTATTTTCGTCCGGATTTAGATTGCATTTTTTCGGATATAAAAAATGAATCTATATTAAGATATGATGGTTTATAAATCGATTATTTTGATTTGGATTGGATCATATCGGTTATTTGGATTGAATACCTTATCCGTGTCCTCAATTAACATGACTTTAGTAGATTGACGACGGGAATGCTTTCTTTAGGAAGAGATAATAAGAAGACTATATGCCATTTTAAGCCCTCTTTAAGTCCTAAACAATTCATATGAAAAAAGACCATGATAGATGACTCCAAGAAATAGCTTTGCCAATAGAATATAGCATCTCAATGTATCAACTTTGAGATACCAAAAAGTATTTTTTTTATAGTTGAGTTAGTCGTATAACTTCCCATGATATAAGCAAAGATTGGAAGACCAAGACTAGTAAAACATAACAGAGAGATAGAGAGAGAAGTTACCCGGCGATGGCTAGTAGCGAGTCTCTTCTCTACTAATCAAGAATTTCCAATGAGTGAGCGAGTACGAGTCTCAATATAAATGTAGACAATGTTGAACAATATGCAAAGGTTGAGGGAAGAGAATGAAGTAGCTACTACCAACTGTTCAAAATTTTATTAAACAAAAGAAAAACAAAGAGTCTTGGGGGGTCAGATAGAGAGAAAAAGAAGTGACGTGGCGTTGGTGTTTAACTCTCCTCACACACTCATACACACTCTTTTCTCCACCACTCTTCTTACCAACCTCCTCTCCTCTTTTAAATGTCTCTTCATCGTTTTATGCTACCTAACCTTCCTTTCTTGATTGCCTCTAACGATATTGGTAGATTTTCTTCCAAACTAATTAATTCCTTTTTCCTTTTTTCTTATTGATTATTATGTTTCTGGTTGGTGTTAGAACATTTCCATGGGGAAGTTCTCCGTGAAAGGTTCTACAACAAAAATATTAATATAAAATAGAGTGGATATCTTAAATAGTTGAGAACCTCTATCAAAAGTATCTCAATCGAGAATTAATTAGTTATTTTTGATAGGGGTTCTCAACTATTTAAGATATCCATCCTATTTATATTAATATTTTTGTTGTAGAACCCCTCATGAAAAAATTTTCCATGGAGATGGTCTTAGAATCTCGGCCCAATAAGCAATCAAGAAGGATAGAATGAGTTCTAGATGAAGAAACAAAGAAAAAATTCAAAAATATAATTTTTATTGCCTGAACTTGAGCAAAAGAAAATAAGTTTGGAAAGGAAAAAAAAACTAGTGTATTTTTTTTAATAAATTGTGGAAGTTCCGAAACTTTGATCATATCTTTTTGATACTTGAAGTGAGCCTTTAAATATTCCGATTTAAGAAATAAAAACTAATGATTTGATAACTGAACAATTTTCACACCATTAATTTGGTATTGTTTGTCGGGAGAGGCAAGTCTAACACCAATCGTAGGTGACATAGACATATGTTCAAGAATCGGTCCACAAGATCTCGATGGACAAGAAACTATGGCTAGAAATTTAAATAAAAAACTGGATGAAGGCATATTTGCGGTCATCGAGAAGATCAATCAAGTAACTACGGATCATAATAATTTGGCTCTTCTGTAACTGAAGTATATTCCTTAGTGAGAAAAATGAGTCATAATATACAAATCCCGTAAACATTCCTTCTGGAGCCATTTGGGAGAAATAAGTAAGGCGACAATGTAAACAAGGGATTGATTGTTCCAAGTAAACCCGCTTGCAATCTAAACTCAACTCCGATGAGAAATATTGATAAAAATACCTAATTAACACCTCAGAGAGGCAACAACCATCATAAATGCGGCACCATTTTTCCACCACCGTTTGCTATGTCTAAGTATCCACATCTTCAAAATAATATCACGTGGTGCGAATGAAAAATATTCGTTCAACGATTAATTAAACCAAAGCCTAAGCTGAAATTGTCGAGCGAGCAAAAAAAAAATTACTATGGAAGACTGAATCATGAATCGCTTTAGAGATCTATTGAAAAGAATAATGTTGATAGTAGTGCTTTGAACTCAAAGTTTCATCTAATGAGTAAGCATTGTACCCGTAATAAACAGTGTGAATGAAATCTTTCCACATAGAGAATTGAGAACACCCAAGAAAAGGATGTAGGAATGCTTTGACTTCTCATCTACAAGGGAAAAATATAATCGTTATGTCATGCTCATGTGACCACATTTAGTATTGCAATTAGTAGAGCTCATTCCCATGAAAAAGGGAGAAGCATGACTTTGCAAATGATTTGCCGAACACTTCACCATATCTGCTTTTTTTTTTGTTCAACAAGGAAGATTCATTTAAACGATCAAAGTACAAAAGGAAGAGAATTAAACATCCTCCATAATTGTTACAACATAATTGAAAATCAATAAAGTATAAAACAGATAGATGATCGCCAAGGATGGACAGCGAATCCAAAACATGCTTCAGATGCGTCAAGAGGGTCTTCGTGGCAAAGCCGGAGAGTCTCAGGTTAGTCACTTTACCATGTGACTTTAAAGTTCCCGGCCTAAAGCACGGGGGTTTGACCACTCTCAATGAGAGGGAAGAAGATACGACCATGCTCAAAGAGATGGAAGATGGTGGAATTGAACTCATCCACCGGGAGTAAATTGCAGGATTTGAGAATCCATAAAACTTTGATCTTCTATCTACAGAGAAGATATCGAGCTCGCGAGTTACTAGATTTGAGACTCCATAAAACTTTGGCCCTCTCATAGGTGGAGATATGAATCTTGATGCTTGATAAATTGAAGCACAGTGAAGGCGGATTGCTCTCTCCAGGCTCGATTTGGAGGACGAAGATTTTAACGAGCTCTGTAACAACTTGTCTAATTCGACAAGAAAGGCAGTACCACTTTGTAGGGATAAATCGTGAACTTTTCCAAGGAAGAAATTGATTTTCCAGCCATCAGAAACTACACACTCGGCCAGATAAAGATGTGTCTGAGCAATAATCATGGGCTGTAGTTTGCATAATGGGCTTTACATCAATAGATTTTTTTGGATTATAAAGGAAATCTGGGCCCGGTCCAACAAGGAGCAAATGAAGACCCGAGATGTGAGAATGAGGATTCGCCGGCTCCGATTTAGGTATGCAAAATAGCTCTCGATCTCGTCGACGGCAGAACGGAAGGGTAGCCTCGGCACACCCAGGGATGGCAGATCCATGAACTCGCCATTCTTTATGGAGAACGACGGAGAAGAGAGTACCGTACCAAGGCCGTGAAGACCCGGATGTTTCTCGTCGGGGTCACCGACGGAATTTGGGGTTGTTTCTTCGGTTCCGTTACGGCTGGATCCGAGACTAGAGGGATCAAAGATCACACGCCTGTAAGGTTTCATCTCTATCATATCTTCGAGTTGGTTCCTCGGCGTTCGTATCAAGACAACAACTAGATAGAGAGGAGTGGGTTGATCCAGTTTGAGGGCATGGTCAGGGGGGAAGGTGGAGCCACGGCTGACAGAAGAGTGAGCGGCGGCGGTGGAGGCTCGGGAGGAGGAGAGTGGAGCCACCTCTCGACCAGAGGAAGAGGCATTCCCGGTGGAGGAGGAGGTTTCGGGGGTAAAGGCTTCAGGGGGAGGCATTTTCTTGGCCATCAATGCGGAACCGGCACCGGAGACCAGGGCCAACGCCGGTGGTGGAGAGAGAGAGGGATTAGCTCGGGGCTCGATCTCCAGATCTGCTTTAAATTAGATTCTTAAGATGATAAAGTGATCGATTGATAGTTTTAGACAATTGTCAATGACTTTCATAAATAAATATTCTATGTTCATGGAAAAGATCACTCTGGATGTCGGTCTTTGGGCATTGTGATGTGAGTTACGTTTTACTCTAAGACTAACAATACAAAGTTGTAAGTGCATAAAAACAAAAAAAACAAAGTTGTAAGTGCATAAAAACAAAACAAAAATTATAAGTGCACAACAAGTCGATTGTAATACTTGAGGAATCAATCCTACAAAGACTTCGAGTGTACAATAATTATAAATAAAATAAAAATATAGCTAAGTAAAAAACACATTTTGTTTGTTTTTGAATAAAAGTAAATAAAAGTTGTAATTTAAAATCGATGTAATGATCTATAAGATTAAGGATTTATAGTTCAAATTATTTAACACTAACTCCTATAGACCAATGAGATCATTTTTCCTGTTCTAGAACTCAAATCATTGTGATAAGGTTAACCCACTATCAGGGTGATAATCATCTATGTCCAAACTATCATATTAATCAATTATAGTAATCAATAAGATAGATAGACATGAGAAAATAATCAAGTACAATTCTTCATCTAACTCAGTAACTCAATTCTTGCAGGTTAAAATGCTAGACCCATCGAAATAAGATCACAATAATAACTCAAGTAGTGTGCATGCCGAAATCGTTCAAAGAAAATTTCCTAGATGACCAT